GGCTGATGGGTTGAATGGCACCAACTACCTAGAGGTTACGGATGGCTGTGTTCATCTGATGGAAGCATTGCACCCGCAATCTTGAAAAACCCACAATCACATAAATGTGGCAGATCATCTCAGATGGGTTTGGAGCGTAGCCAAGAGCCACAGGCAAGAATCCTGGTCTAGACTAAATGAACTGCTCACTGTTTCCCACACCCGACCAGCTTTTGCACCCTGAGCCCTTTTGAGGTTGTTCTAAATGGATCCTGGACCAGAAATGCAGCCAAGACCTGCAGAATCAGAATTTATACTTTAACAAGCTCCCAAGGGCATGTCTAAACACTTTACATTTGCAGTCTCTCAGGTTGCGCCAAAATGCACCCCTCCACCACCCAATAATCACCCGAGGCTCAACATCTGCCAAGGCTCGAGCACATCTCACCTGTACCACCATGAGGGCATCCCTGAGCCCTCAGCTGGGGCCCTCACAGCTCAGCATCTCTCCGGCTACTGTGGCGGCTCTGCATCAGGTGTTCCTCTCAGGTGTCCTCAGCACAGGTGTCAAAGTAAAGATTCAATGAAAGGCTGTCAAGGTGGCGTTTCTCTCTCTCTCCCACCTGCCCCTCAGGATCTCTGTTTCCCTAAGACTCCTGCAGCTCCGTGTCTCCGTGAGGAGCCTCAGCCGTACGCAGCAGTCCTCTTGACCCCTTGGCGCGCCTCTCAGGCCACCTTGGGCCATGCAAGCCCCTGCGTGGCTTCTCTCCAACTGTGCTACCCTTGGTTACCATCTTTTGGGGGAGATGGCGAGTGTCTTACACTGCCGTTACCCTAACAGCTTGCTTAGATTTGACCCCTCACCTGCAGCAGCCCCCTCAGCATAGGGCTCAGGTGCTGGTCTGTGTCGGCTGGCCCCGAAGACAGCCTAAGTGATAGGCCCCCGCGCGGTCAAGATGCCACTGCCCACCCCCAACCGCCCAGGCCACTGCAGGCGAACCTCCCCTTCCTCTTCCCATAGACTATCCCCACCACTGCCCCACTTCCCATATCCTTGGTTGCTTCCAACAAGTAGACCTGGGGCTACTCTACCCCCAAAACACAGGGAATGCCAGAAGCCTGGGCTGAGCGCTGCTCAGGTTTACCATCAACTCAGCCCTACTTTCCATGGGAGCCGTCTTCATCATCTCTTCTGGAAAGCAAGCTTCACATCTGGCTCACTCCCCGCCCCTCGCCACGCCCCCGCCGCCCAGGCCCCTACCTCTGTCTCTGCACAGAACAGAATGGATGCTGAGTGCATGAGGGTTGCAACAAGGAGCTGGTGCAGTATATCAGACAGAGCAAGAACCCGGAAACAAACCAACCTCCTCATGCTCTGCCCTGTGTCCTCAAGACACCTTGGGCCTGTCACGGACTCTTTCTTGGCCTCCGTTTCCCTATCCATGAAACAGGAAGATGATCTCTAAAGTCTTGTTTATCTCTGACATTCTGTGCAAGAGTAAGGAATGGATTTCCAGTCCTTGAAAAGAAAAGGATTGCAGGGTTGGGGACATAGGCACTGGTCTACCTGGAGCTCACAGCCCAGCTGGAGGAGGAAAGAAGGGGCTGGAGGAGGGGCCAAGGGGTGGCGTATAGAAAGGACTTGATGGGCCCCCTGCAGAACATCTGCAAGCACAGGTGAGGGGGAACAGAGGGGCCAGGGCAGGGGGCCAGAGGCTGGCTTCTGATATTTCTAGAAAGCTCACTTTTAGTTCCTTTTTTCTTTACCCCTGACCCTGAGTGGGTGTCTCGGGCAATGACAAAAGCCTATGTGGAAGATGTCACTTTGGTGGGAGGTAGGAGTTAGTTCACTGGGTGGAAGGAAGAAAGGATTATTCACTAAGAGGAATTTTCCATTTCTCATCTATGAGTTAATGGGGAAGGGGTCCCAAGGGGATCGGGGATTCTGAGGAGCAGCAAAACCTTGACACTGCTTCCCCCGGTGCCCCTTCCCAGGGCCTTTTTCCCTTTTACCACCCACGCCCCCAGCAAGAGCCCAACCCAACCACGTGAGTTGTCCTGGCTCCAAGTTAGACTCTGGAATGCAAACTTGGCAAGCTAACTTTTCCTTTTTCACAGGATTTGGGAACTTCCAGAGCTGTCTCATAGTGGGAATTTCCACTCATCTCTTACACACTGTGACTGCCTTTCCAGCAGAGGGGGCAGAATTGGGAGGGATATCACCTGCCAGAGACTTTCACTTCTGATTCAGTCCATTTCACCTTTTGTCTGTTTATTGTCTGACACTTGGAGTGACCAAATCACTTCCAGACAATGATGATTCCTCTTCTGGAGAAGAAAGGTAGCTTTATACACTCTGAAGCCTAACTAAATACTCAGAAAAGCCAGTAAGCTTTTCATCGTGACTGTGGGCCAATTGGTTTGCCTCTTTGGACTATGGTTTCCTCACATAAGCAGAGGAGGTTGAAGTACATGATCTCTACAAGCCCTCTGATTCTGGGACACTAGGAGTAACAAAGACATGGCTGAACCAGGGGAGAATACAGTTCTCCCTTGAGTAACACAGGGGTTAGGGGCACCCACACCCCCACCATGTAGTTGAAACTCCACATATAACATTTGACTCCTCCAAAACTTAACTACTTATAGCCTACTGTTGACTGGAAGCTTCACTAATAACCATAAACGGTCGATTAACACAAATTTTGAAAAATATTCATTACTGCAGTCTTACAGTAAGTAATCTAGAGAAAAGACAATGTTATTAAGAACACATAAAGAGGAGAAAATACATCTACCATGTTTATTTAAAAAAAAACAAAAAACAAACCCAAAACACTTGTATGGGCACCTGCACAGCCACATCTTTCAATTTGTTAACCTAGACAGGAACCGAAGAGTGACTGGGTTCCACAGGGAAAGAGGAGGAAATCCCCCAAGTCCCTGGAGAAGGACACTCTTAGATTAGAGAGAGCTTCCATTAATGTGAGGTGTAACTTCTTGGAAGTTAGGATGCGGTGGTCTGGGATGACTTGAGAAGCTGCACAGTCTACATTCCTGAAATATCATACTCATTCATGAAGAATAAACTGAGTCATTGGCAGAGCACTGCGTGGAATAAAGAGAGGTTTGAACATAGATGGGGGATGGGTTGGTTACCAAGATTCAGGCAGAATTAAAACAAGGCTCCCCGAGCGGTGTAAACAAAGCAGCACGCAAAATGACTTGTTCTCTGTTTATTCTGTCTTTTTTGGAATGATACCCAAGAGTGTGGAATGGCCTCTCTGTAGATTCTCTGCTCTCAGATGCTCTAGCAAACCAATACCCACCATGAGACATTTAGTCCAGGACTTGGGAGTAGGAATTCTGGAAGTGTCTTGATGAAATCTCAGCCCCACCTGCTATTGCCTGTGAAATCCTGGACAAGTTACTTAATTCCAGTTTCAACCAAAGGAGGGTTGTTTGGAGGACTAATGGGACAATGCTGGAAAGCACCTCAGTGCAGTGCCTGGCACCATGTAAGCACTCAATGACACCAGTTTTTCCTTTGCTTTTCCACTACTGACCGCTAACAACGGACCAGACACAGTCACTGGTTCAATATAACCCATTTCTTATGACAAATGTAGATATTGGCAGGTGTGTCTTCCGAGAAGGGCCATGCATTTTTCTAGACATTGTCTTGATGACCCTTTAATAAAGATAAGTCACTAGAAGCTTCCATGCCCACAGGGCAGAGGCAAAGCAAGGCTCATAAGCAAAAGGCAGTGGAATAGGGGAGCCCAGAGGCCTGGATTCTGGGCTCTGCTCACCCATGCATATGCCTCAAGGAATCTTACAATGTTTGTAAAAGGAAATAGTTCACTGAAATGAATTCTAAGGTCTTTGGGGTTCTTTATTACTGTGATTCTATGGTTTGAAAAAAAAGTGAGTCAGAGCTGCAACTTGAAAGCAGGCATTCCGATTCCCATAACACCGTCCCTCTGCTTACCCACACTCCCTGGAATGCAGAGAGAACCCATGGTAACAGTCGCCAGCGCTGGCGGCACGCTTCTTGCCACGGCTGCCGGCTCTGTGACCACAGGCTCCAGAGGCAGAGTGACTTTACCTCAGGGAACATTTCTCAACTCCTCTTCAGCTGCCCCCTAATCTGCGAGGTGCTGAGGATGGGGGTGGGGGCAGATATATAACCAGGAGGCCAACTGGAAGGACAGGTACACATTTCATCCAGAAATATGTCCTGGTGGTGGCAGCAAGACACAGGGTTCTGCTCGGGAGTACTTGGGCAGGTACTTAACCCCTCTGCGCCTTGGTGGTCGGATCTATCATGGGGATTAATGGTACCTACTAGACGGGGTTGGAGAATTGAAAGACTGGCATTTGTAACGGGTTTAGAATGTTCCTGGCCCAGAGCAAGCACCGTGTGAGTGTCACAGGCATATTTCCTTTGCAGCACTGTGTATCTTTTTCCAAAAATCCAGCAATTGTTAGAATTCAGTTCTATGGTTCATAGAACCCGGCAGATGCACTCCATTTCAATCACCACTCTGCATTTTAAAGCACAGATGGATTTAATATGCAACTGAAAAGTCTGCCAAGACATCCGGGCCCCTTCCTGGCTGAAGACCCCTTAGACTATCATTAAAAGGAGGGCCAGGGGCCAGCCCTGAGATTTTTCATTTCCCCCTTGACCTCTGCTTCCTTGCTTCCTTTCTTTCCTGCAGAGTTTTCACTTCGAAGAAAGCAGAATCCTTAAGAATAACCCACTTGGTTCCTGTCTGTGGTCACTCTGGATATAACTGCGCCCTGTGGCCCCCTACCCCCACCCCCAAAAATGCCTGTTCCAGACCTACTGCTTTCCTCTCCTTGTTCCTGGAAATGTCCCAGGGCGCTCACTTGCATCAGCACATTTAAGGTTTCCCTTCGTCATTCATTGAGGAGGATGCTGCCCGGGCCAAGCCTTGCTCCACCCACTTGGTTTTCAATAAAAGGCAGGCAGAGCAGGCAGAGCTTCCAGAGGAGCAGAGAAGCTGAAACAAGCTCAGACACCAACAACTCGCACGCTGAGGTTTGCATCCTCGCCCTCCAGTATCATCAGCATGAAGGTCTCTGCAGTGCTTCTGTGCCTGCTGCTCACAGTAGCTGTCTTGAGCACTCAGGTGTCCGCTCAGCCAGGTAAGCCCCTCCCTCCTTCCTTTTGAAGCCCATCCCCCCACAGGCGATCATGGGCTATCAGAGCAGAAGGGGCGCCCACAGCCTCACTTTCGCCGCCACTGTTACAAGATTGGGGAACTCTGGAGAGGACGAGGAGTGAGCCTGAGCTCACAGGCGCCCCTAGGCAGAGCCAGGGCGAGAAATCTAGCTGCGGACCCCAAAGCCAGCTCCTTCCAGGACTCCAGCCCTGGCAACAGACCCTCAGTGCAGTTTCTGCCTCAGGTCCTTTCAGCAGTGACTGGGTGCTGGGGTGACCAAAGAGCAGGGCCTTTGGTAGCAGGTGTGAAGATACAGGGAAGGGGAGAGAAGAAGACCCAGAATCTGGACTGTGCTACATTCAGCCCAGCTTCCAGAGACGTGGCCCTGCAGAGGCTGTGGGTATCAGGGAAACTCATGACCAAGTATAGATCCCTTGGAACCCAAAATGGGACCCATAGCTGGGGTCCCTGCACTTCCCTGACTATGACATTTTGCATTATTAGTTCCCTCTAACGACACTCCCTGGAATTACATAGTTTTAACAGCTCTCCCTTCCCTCTGCTATCAATGCTGTATACCCATTTTACAGCATAGGAAACTGAGTCAGCACGCCATTCTAGCTTAGTGGTATCAGAAGAACTGTTGGAATTCAATGGGTTCCCTCTTTGCTCCTAATTTCCCTTTGCCTTCTCCTCACTACTTTTCGGTGCTCTGGTTGAGAACAGAAGAAACCAGTCCATCCTAAAATGCTTTTTCTTTGTTGTTCTATTTCTAGATGCAATTTTTTCCCATGTCACCTGCTGCTATACATTCATCCCAAGGAGGATCCCACTGCAGAAGCTGGTGGGCTACAGAAGAGTCACCAGCAGCAAGTGTCCCAAAGAAGCTGTGATGTAAGTGGACCATACCATCCCTTCCCTGGTTTAGTTCTTCAGAAAAAAAAAAAAAGAAAAAAGCAGCAGCAGCAGCAGCAGCAGCCTCAAACCCTAGAGTCAGAGAGCCAAAAGTGTCCAGTGGGCCAACTGAGAACACAAGGGGAAAAATGATACCCAACATCATTTTCCAAGTCCAGACCATTCCAATTTCTTCCCCAAGAAGTCACCTGGGACACCTGTCCCAGCACCTGCCCTGGGCTCCCTCCTCCCCCTCCTCTAGTTCCCAGGGCAGCCCCTTAGCGCAGGCAGGCGATCCTCACTGGCAGGCTGGCATCTCAGTGGAACTCTGTCTCACTGCATCCTCTCTCCCCACAGCTTCAAGACCAAGCTGGACAAGGACATCTGTGCTGACTCCCAGGAGAAGTGGGTCCAGGCCTCTGTGGAGTACCTGGACAAGAAAATCCCAACTGCCAAGCCTCCAACACACCTGCCCGTGACCAAAGGGTCTATACCTAATTTATAACCTTCTAACTTTCCCTGAATGCCCTCTGATATTATTTTATTATATTTTCAAAGAACATGAACTTTGTTTATGGGTATGAAACATGATGTCTTAATTATGGTAATCTTATTTAAGTTATTGAAGTTTTAAGTCTATCTTCCACAAATACGAGCGTGTTTTCGATGTGGAGACTTGGGCAAATTGCTTTCTTCTGTGAACCTCAGTTCCACCCCTCAAATGGAATGAGGGTCCGCGCACAAATCATTAATGCAGACACATGTTGTTTTAAATTGTAAAGTATTGCTAACAATGTTACTGTGGAGATATAGATGATGTAATTATTGAACAATATATATATTTTTGTACAAAACCTGACTTTCGGTGTTTTCTTGAGGTACATTAAAAGGCTGAGTATGTTCTTGATGATGAGGGAGGGGCATGGTCTCAGAAGACAGGGCTCAAGTGTGGAAGGAAAGAGAGCGTGGATTGCCCTGGTCTTTTCCACGGGGCAGGCTCATCGGAGGGCCTGTAGCGTAAAGAAGTCCCTAAGGCAAGACCCAACCCGACACCATCCGCCCAGGTCCCAGCTACCTTTGTCACTTGTTTAGCAAGGGCCCCACCTCCATTTCTTTCCTCACAGCCCCTGAGCCCTGCCAACAATCTCTCCCATAATCGTTTGCAACTGCCCCTAGTCTCTCTCCCTTCAGTTAACCCTCCTATTTGGCATAGTACAGACACTGCAGACATTGAAAAATCAGGGGGGAGACTTAATGACTGTCGATAAGATGGTGAAATTAGAATTTCATAAAGCGGGTATGATTTGAATTTATCCTTGATGAGTGATGAGATTTTCTTTAAAAGTGACAAGATCATTAAGAAAAGATGGAAGATTATAAGCAAATACCTAGAGGTAGAAAAAAATGACACCTACATCAAAGAGGGAGAAAACCAATCAGGTGCCAGTTGGGGTCCATGTCTGTGTCAAGTGATGGAGAAATTTAAAAAGGAAGGTCGAGTAAAGAATTTTGAATATCAAGGTTGTAAGTTAGTGCGCCACCTCGCAGCTTGAAAGGAGGTGTTGAAAATATTTGCTCATCACGGCTGGTGTGGCCCAGTGGATTGAACGCTGGCCTGTGATCTGAAAGGTCCCTGGTTGGATTCCCAGTCAGGGCATATGCCTGGGTTGCAGGCCAGGTCCCCAGTTGGTGGCGTGTGAGAGGCAACTGGCAATCAATCGGTGTATCCCTCGCATATTGCTGTTTCTCTGCCTTTCTTCCTCCCTTCCCCTCTCTCTAAAAGTAAATAAATAAAATCTTTTTTTAAAAAAATTTGCTCCACTGAAGAAGGACATGCCATGTTCAGAGGTTCAGAGGTGGGTTTCAGGAAATGTAACTTATTGGTTTCATGCACACCTGGAGAAATAGGGACAAGGGAGAGGTTCCTGCCGTGGTCCAGGCAAAAGATGATGAGGCCTGAATATGGAGGCTAAGAATCAGCCTTGGAAAAGAATGACAGGCTGGGTGAAAATTTGAGTGTTGTAGATGGAGAAGGACCTGTGACCTAAGATTCAAAAAATAAAATAAAATAAAATAAATTAAAATAAAATAAAAGCCCCTTCTTTAACCTTCATTTTAAGGGATCAGCTTCCCTAAAACCAGAAGGAACTTCCCTCTATCACTACCTCCGCATCCCAGTCCCAGAAGCCTGGGATTATCCATTTAGACAGACAGGACTTTTTATCCTGAATGTGACTCTAAAGTCTGCATTCCTTTGCATGGCATTTGACCTGCCTGTGAGGTGTCTGACCCACGTAGGCCAAGACAGTCTCCCCTCTGAGAAAAGCATATATCTTGCATTACTGAATAAATTTGCATGGTATTGACCTTCCCAATCTGATGGGGAGATGCTGCTGGGCCAAGCTAGGCCAGGCCGTACCTTGGCAGCATGAGGCGTTGGGGAGAAGAGCCCTGGCTGGCAAGAGGGACACTTGGGCTCTCCCAGCAGAACTGGCACTAACCGTCTCTGCTACTCGGGGCAGGTTGGGTATTCTGAGTCTCCATAAAGAAAATGAGGATGATAGTATGTTACACGAAGGAGCCCAGGGGGGCCTAGATATTAAGATCTGAGAGCCTGTCTCTTAGAAAACTTCAATTTCTACTAGCTGGAGCAGGAGAGGAGGAAAGCGGATTCCACATCCTCTGCTTCCATCAAAGCTTCAAGTAATACTTTCCAAAGTGCCCTGATACATCAGTCAGCACATAAATCTCTTGGCAGGTGTTTATGGAACTCACTGACCCTCATGCCAGGCCCAACAGCCTTCCCTGCCTCTTTCCCTCTCCTGCAGTCTGCAGCCTTAATCACCAATCAGAGATACATCTTTAATTGCAGTGGATTCCAAGAGGCCAAAGAGAGTAGAGTACAAATCACATAGTTTACTGAGCCTCAGGCCCTCTGATGTCAAGCAAATTGAGGTGCGGGACCTGGAAGGAGGAGGGGCCATGAGAGGGGTGAGCCATGTGCTCAAACCCCCAAATAACCTGCTCCCATTCCCTTTTCAAGTCATGCCTATTTATTTTCATGACATTTTGAAATTAGCTAAGACGGGGATTCCTTGCTCCTTGAATGAAGAAACGTGGGACAAAACATTGACAAAAGGCGCTGTTGTAGGAGGGGATGCCAAGTATCGTGTTTCCATTTCCTGTCGTTGCCAGTAGTCTATTCCAGGAAATCTGGGCTATTGCTAGCAGGTTAAGAAATTTTTTCTAGCCTCTGCCTCTTGTCAAATTCCAAAGCTACTTCTACATTTTTTTTTTTTACTGTTACAGTAACACCCTACTTACAGTTACAAAAATCTGTGTGTTTCTTATTGCTACTGTAACAACTTATAAAATTAATGATTTAAAACAATACAAATATATGATCTTAAGTTCTGGAGGTCAGAAGTCTTTCTGGAGAATCTAAGGTAGAATTCACTTTCATGCCTTTTCCAGTTTATGAAAGCTTCCTGCATTCCTTAGCTCACAGCCCCCTTCCTGCCTCTTCAAAGCCTCTTTATATATATATATATATATATATATATATATATATATATATATATTCTCTCTCTGTCTCTCTTTCTGTCCCCTTCCTCTTCTTCCCACTCCTCTATTTCTGTCATCACATTTTGTCTCTAATTCTTATCCTCCTTCCTCTATGTTACAAGAACATTTGTGATTATACTGGGCCTGTCGGGATAACCCAGGATGACCTTGCCATCTCAAGGTCCTTAAATTAATGACATCTGCAAAGTTCCTTTCGCCATGTCAGGTAACATATCACAGTTTCCAGGGACTGGATTAGGGAGTGGGCCTCCTTGGGAAGATGGCGTTATTCAGACTACTGCAGTTAGGGACCAGACAAAAGTTTGCAAAAGGTAGCTGGGCACTGCGACTTGGCCTTTGAGATCTGGATCTGGCTTGGTGTATAAATTCACCGAAAATAGTATAAGTGTGTATTTTAATGACTTTTCTTGCATCTAATTTAACAGACATATGCATAAAACAAAAATTACAAATCTGCATTGAGGGGAATGCCATGTACACACATATAATTTGCGACTATAACAGATTTAACATGAGGAGGGGGTGGAGGTATGTAGGATTAAAGTTTTCATATACTATTGAAATAAAAACTGTATAAACTGGGGTTTGGCTGCACAGTGGGATGAGTCAGCCTCGGCTGCCGGGGCATAGAACCCTCCAGGGACTTCTGGTCAAGATGGCAGCATAGGCAGACATGGGTCACCTCTTTTTACAACCACATCAAAATTACAACTAAAATATAGAACTGATGGGGGACTCAAATGTTGGAAAACTTTTAGTTTCAGGCAAGAGTTAATAAGTTTAGCAATCAATGTATGTAAAAAGCTCTTGTTTCAGGAACTGAAGGTATGACCCACCTTGACTTCAGGAGACCATAAGCAGTTCCACCTTTGTGCCTCAGGAGGACTGCGCACAGTCAGGATGGTATGTGAGCCGTTGTACTCGAGGATGAGAAGACCACTAGCCAGGACACAGATAAAGACCACCGCCGAGGACACAGGTGCAGTTTTTTTTCTGATTAACATTTCCCCTGAATTCCAAACCCCTTACCTACACTTTTTTTCTCCTTATAAAAAGCATCAGTTTAAAACGGAATTTAAGACAGTCTGTTAGAGTGCAAACACACTGTCTTCTCATATCACTGACCATCTGAATAAAGTGCCCATAAAGACTCAATCCCTGTCTCTGCTTATTGGGTTTGGTAGGTGACAGGCAGCATGAATGCTGGCTTTTCCAGTTTTAGAGAAAACATCACTCAGGAGTGTCAGAAACTGAGCTGAATGGAGGTCTGACAACCAGGAAACCAAGTTGCATGAAAGTCTGACAATTACGGGATTAAAGAAACCACATCCATCCAGATTCATAGGAGGGGCACAGACCAGAACAGGCTGGTCTCAACCACATGGATAAAAACTGGGGAGGGATATCTCAGGAGTGAGGAGTCCCAGACCCACACAAAACCCACAGTCTAGGATTCCAGTGTTAGGAAGATAAGTTCCCACAATTTCTGGCTGCAAAAACCATTGGGGATTGAGTTGGTGAAAGAAACTTCTGGAGCCCCAAGCAGTTCCTCTTAAAGAACCCACACATTGGACTCACCTACTCAGACTCACTCCCTCTGAGCTTCAGCACCAGGGTAGCAGCTTGAAAGGCACCAGTGGTAAACAGAGAGAAACTGAAGTGCCTGGCATCAAGGTGAGCAGAGGCGATTGTCCCTTTGCTAAACCCTGCCCCCCATAGAGCCAGCAAGCTGGTGCCATATCCGAGACTCCTTCAGCCTGGCTAACATTGTTTGACCTTCCTTGGAGGTCCCCAGAGGCGCTGCCTCACCCAACTTAGTAGCCCACCCAAGCTGCTTTTCCATAAGAATGGCTGGTCTTGCCTCCTAAATCTTATCAAACAAGCAACAGCTGGCGTCAGTGAACCCTAGCAGCAGCCACATTAGATTCACAATGTGGCTTCACCTGGGACTCTCCAAGCCCAACATGAGTAACAGCCCTCTCAGACTGCTTTACAGCTCGGGTAGGGTGCCCTGGGTGAAACCCAAGTGGGGGCTGACCTTGGCCTGCACCACCCGGGAAACCCCAGAGCCTGCACACCCAGGGGACAGCTACAGACCACGTGGGAGCACCGCCACCCTGCCCCTGCAGAGCTGATGCTCCACTGACAGTGGAGGTTGGTGGTCAGTGATCACAGCCAGTTTTTGCAGCTGACAGGCCTGGGTAAGTCCCTCCCACCAATCTG